CCGAGTTTGAGTCTCCAATTAATCTAATCGGCTTAGAGCACTGCAATACACGGTAGAGCTAATTAAATTTTATTATACTTTTTACTTATTTTTATTATAAATAGTCGATATTGTTATTGTTTCGCTTTTACACGAAGCTGAGTGGAGATTACCTTCTAACGCGATTCTGGAAGAGGATGTTCAGGATGAAGAAGTCGAGGTTTTATTTAGTAGTGCTTTTTCTGTAGATTATTTTTACTGATTTTGTCATTAGAAATTTACTGGGGAATTTCCCTCTCGAGGTAGAAAGTTCTTTAGGGTAGCCTTCGCCGTTTTATCACACCCGCTCCTCTCTTTTTTTTGCAGTCCCTCAGGAACCTCAGCCTTCTGGAACCGTCGTGGGCATCAAGAGGAACTGGCGTCCTCATTGCGGGGCCCTTCTCTCTCATGTTAAGTACTTATATTTTTTATAATCTTTTTTCTTTCTTTCGATATTCCTTTGGGGAGGGGCTAAATCACACATTTGTTCCGTCGGATAAAAATATCCCCAGAATTAAGATCCGCACTCGCCAGGGCGCTCAGTTGCTGGGAAAGAGACTAGTATATATTTATTGATTTGTTATTTGTTCGCAGCTTCTACCGTCTCCTTCCAGGTGGCCAGCATTGACGACTGGGCAAAAAACTCTCGTTATCCTTTTGGTCATTTTGTGCGGCGTAGCGGAGAGTTGGGCGATAGGGACACCGAAAATAAAGTCATTCTAATAGAACAAAGCGTTCCTTATTACTGTGAAGTTTTTTTTGTTTCGAGACACGTAAAGTTTTTAAGTGGCATCATTATTTTCAGTTTCAGCGATAATATACTATCTTGTCTCCCGAAGCCCACGTGGCGTATGTCGAAGAAGATCTTTCCTGCCGCTCTGACTACAGGGCGTTGGATGTCTGCTCTATTGATCCGCCGGGCTGCACTGTATCCCGCACTTTTGACCGTTTACCACCCATCTTGTGCAAGGAACGCTTGTTTAGGATATAGACGACGCGCTTCATGTTCGCAAGCTTGCCAGTGGGAACTTCGAGGCTGGTGTCCATATTGCCGATGTCACGCATTTCGTCGACCACGGCACGCCATTGGATAAGGAGGCAGTCTGTAGAGGTGGCGCTATATAAGAGACCGTGGTGCTTTCGTGAACCCGCATATAGGGACCACCGTTTATTTGGCTGAAAAGCGAATCGACATCCTTCCTGAGTTACTTGGGCCCAATCTCTGCTCGCTTAAAGCCGGTGTGGACCGCCTGGCCTCCTTTTTTGTGGTTACTTTCTTTTTTTTTTTTTTTTTGAAGTATAAGGCAATATTCTCTCTTTGCAGGGAGTTCACTCCTTCCGGAGACGTTGTGGTCACACACTTTACGAAAAGTGTTATTGTTTCCAAAAAGTCTTTTACTTATGAGGAGGTTTATATCAGCGGCCTGGATAAATAATTGTATTTACAGTACACTTTACTAATCCAGGCACAACTTCGAATGGACGACCGATCCCATCAAGATTCCATGACTTGTGGGCTCTGTCATCTTAGTAAACTCGCAAAGGTAACTTAATTTTCCTGCATTGGATACTTCACATTAGTCATTTTTCTTTGCAGATCCTTAAAAAAAGACGTTTGGAGACAGGATCTCTAACGCTAGCTTTCCTGAAGTTCGCTTCCAGTTCCACTTCGACGAGGAGTTTTAAGATCCTCTGAATATTGAGGTTCGCCTGCTATGCTAAAGGTAGGTTTCCTCATAAACCCTTTTTTATGGTTATTTAGGTGAAAGCCATGCTCGAAACCAACTCGTTTGTTGAAGAATTTATGTTATTGGTCAACATTACCGTCGCTGCCAAAATTCTCGAGTATTTTACTGAAAGCGCTTGCTTGAGGAGGCATCCTGTTCCCCCTCAGGCGCGATTCGAGTCTTTAGTGAGATGAGCAAAAGGTATAGGGTTGCTTAGAAGAGGACGTTGCGTTTGCTAACGACTCTCTCCTAAGTTCTTGGTTTCGCTTTGGACCCCTCTTCGTCGAAGCGCCTTGCTTTCTCCCCCGAGAGCGTTTGTGCATATGCCTCCCATACGTTCTCCCCCTTTGAAATGCTTTGTGCAGGTTGTGGATCCCAGCCATCCTTACGTTAACATTCTGCTGCGGGTTTTTACCACGCGCCGCATGTTACAAGTATGTACTTTGTTGGTTGGTGTCTCTTTTCTTTATTTGTAACTTCGTTCAGGCGGTCTATTTCAGAAGTTGGACAGTCTCGAAGGGCGAATACTACCACTATGGCTTGGCAGAGGGCCTCTACACTCACTTTACGTCCCCCATACGGCGGTATGCCGACATTTTTGTCCATCGGATGCTGGCAGCGGCTATCGACTGGAGCTCGACGCACCCAGGTTGGCACACAAGTTTGGCATGTCGGGCGCGTCCTTTGCTTACTTTTATTTTTTATTATTAGATTATTTAATAAAGCAGTACGTTGAAGAAGTTTGCGATAATATAAATAAGCGTTACCGCACTGCACAACGCGCAGGCGTGCCCCTGCCGCTTTGTACACAACTATTTTATTTTCAAGACAAGGTTAGTCCCTGTGCTTTCTCCACTCTGAAGGGCAGTCTTGTTGATATTATCCTGCAGGTTGTTGAGGAGGAGGCGTATGTAATAAAAGTCTGTAACAATGCGGTAGTGCTTATAGTTCCCAAGTACGGGATTGAGGTGAGGACATGATATTCAGAGCCGCTTTTTCTCCTTACTGTAATTGTGGCCTATTAGGGAGCTACTTTTTTAAGGAACAAAGACCATATGGCAGCAGGGGACACTGGTATGCCTCCTTTACTCGAGTATGACAGTGAGACGCAAACCCTCAGCTACCCCTCGTCGGGAAAGTGTTTTTCGCTGGAAGTCAGAGGCGGCTAAAACTAAATATTTTATTTTTTTTAAAGGAGGCAAGGGGCGCCTTGGCGTCTTTGACCGCCGTACTGTGCAAATCCACGTAGATCAGAGCAGCACGCAAGACCGCCAGCTACCTTTTCCGGGTTACTCGGTTGATTCGATTCGCGATTTCTTGAAGTGAATATTGTTACTCATCTCGTGGAGCCGGTGTTACCGGGCGTTAGTGTGCCGTCGTTGCTAGACGGGAATGCGCTATTTTGTGTGGACGTAAAGAAGTTAAGGAAAGTCTAGTAGCTGAAAAGAGCCTGTATTTCTTCTTTTTGCCCTAAACAATTTCTAGTTATTAATTGCTTTTTTCCTATGGGGTCTTTGTAGCGGCAAAAAGCTTTTACTGTTTTTTTACTAGGAGGCAGAACGCATTGTTAAATAAATTATTTACCAATAACGATTTGGGTTTTTTTATTCGAAAGATTTAAGCGTTTTTCTAATAATAGAAATGGCCTCATCTATTTGCTTCTTCTTGATGCACAGAGGCGGGGCTAACCGCACTATATTGTCTCTGGTAGGCCTTGTGAGGAGGCCGTTGTCCCGTAGTCGGAGGCAAAAGTCCCAGGCTGTGCCCCACTCCCCTTCATTATAAACCAGAGCGTTCATAAGCCCTTTTCCTCTCACTTCGCTAATCAGTCTGGAGTTGATGCTGTAAAACAACCCAGTCAGAAATGTGTTTTTTATAGGATTTGGTTGTTAACCGTTTAAGTTTTTTTCGAAGTAACATTCCCATATTATAAGAGTTTTCGACCAGATTCTCTTCTTTTATGACTTCGAGTGCAGTTTTAGCGACCCGGCAGGCCAGTGGGTTTCCTCCATACGTTGATCCGTGCTGCCCTGGACGGATAACTAGCATCACTTCGTTACTTGCTAGGACGCATGACACAGGATAAAGCCCTCCTAGTAGAGCAAAGTTTTAATAAGTAAAACTTTTTTTAAGAACATAATAATCTTTATGTTTGAATTATATTTTTTTAAAAGGGATGCCCTTTTTTTTGTGTTGTACGCGCGTTGTAATTTTATGAGACCTAATATCTGCTTTGACAGCGGAGTTGTATACGTTAACACAAAAAAGGATCAGTAATTTATCCAACTCGCAAGCAACAGTTATAGATAAACCTGAAAGAGATTTGCCTAAAATCAGGATGTCGGGCTTCACATTTTCATAGTCTGAACAAAGTAAACGACCCGTCCGTCCGAGGCCAGTCTGAACCTCGTCGACTATTAGCAAGACGTTATGCTTTTTGCATAATCCCTGCACTTTCTTTAAATATCCCTCTTGCGGAACGACTACTCCCCCCTCTCCTTGTATGGGTTCTACCATAAATGCGCAGATGTTTGGATCTTTTTCCAGAAGTTCTTGTAATTTTTCTGCATTGTCATAAGGGATCTTTATGAATCCGGGTACAAACGGGCCAAAGCCGTTGTAGGCTTCAAAGTCCGTTGAGGCGGAGATAGCAGCAATCGACCTACCTGAATTCTGCATCAGCCACGAATATACATAGCATTAAATAGATTTACCGCAAAAGTTCCTCTGAGCGAAGACAACTTTTGCATCATACTTTTTAATCCCTTTAACATCATAACCCCAGCGCCGTGCCAGTTTTATGGCCGTCTCACAGGCTTCAACTCCTGTGTTCATAGGCAACGCTCGGTCGAAGCCGAAGTAATCTGTGATGTACTCTGAATATTCTCCAAGTGAGGAGTTGTAAAAAGCCCTTGAGCATAGTGAAAGGGTTTTTGCTTGATCTTTTAAGTTCCGTATTATACTGTAAAAATAGTAAAGGATGACTGTTAAGGGTAGCTTCCAAATCTAAGTTTAATTTAAAAAAGGGATTGAATATACCGTGGGTGGCAGTGTCCTTGATTTAATGCAGAATAGCCAGCTATAAAGTCAAGGTACTTTTTCCCCTCAACATCCCAAACTGTTGCCTTCTTTCCTCGACTTAATACTACGGGAAGGCTCTCGTAGTTATGAGCTACAAATTGCTTCTCTTTTTTAATAAGACTTGTGCTTGATTGTTCAGTGGTATATCTCTTTAAACAAAATTTAAAACGAATTTTATTTAATACTGGCAACGAACGGCGCAAGCTAGTCATAATGAAAGAAAAAGTTAACTTTTTTTTTAACACTGAGTGTGTTATAGGGAAATTCATTCATTTCCTATTATGGTATGTTAATGATAAAAAAAAGTTGCTACTCCTAAAAATAGCATATTTGATTCGGTGTGGCCTCACTGGCACGGACATTATAGAGAATAAAGTCAAGGATAATATACAGAGGAAGATGGGCTATATTTAAACAGGTTGTATTCTTCTATCTATTACTTTTTGCGGGTTTTTAATACGAAGTTCGTATAAGGAATCGAACCTGCCCGCCTGCGATGAGGGCCACAGAGCCAACATTACTAGTGGGCCTAAACTCCTATTCCGACGGTGGAAATTAAAAGTACGGGTGTGAGAATTTAGTTAGTTACGGGTATTTAAAGAGCATTTCAATCTTTAAAAATAAATATGTAATCGCTTCTATAAGTCGACTTCTTGGCCCGACTTTAATTACTTGAGCGTAGTGTTACTTTAGAATGTTACTATCTTCTGTAGAGTCTGTATAAGCGTAAATTATGTATACTCAAATTAGGAATAAGTGTATAAATGTATTCGACAATACATGTAGTACACAGTATGAAATTGCCCATTTATACCACCACACGTCCCATCCAGGAAACAAAGACAAAGAGAAATTTGATCCCCACCTACTGTTGTAACCAAGACGGTTATAAAGTCCTATGAAGATAAAAAAGCGCAAATTTGTGGGATAGAGTAACTATATTAGATGGAAGGAACCACCAGTAGGCAAGGTAGCAAATAGCATAAACTAGATCCTAGGAAAAAGGAAACTAAATGAGGACACTAAGGATACTAAGAACGTAGAAATGGAATTAAGAAGACCGCAGAATAGTAACCGAGAACAGAAGAACTTAAAAAGCGTAAAGATAGCGCTTTATGACAAAGTATTTAGCAAAATCCGTTCCCCCCAAGAAGACGTTTAACTTAAATCCCTGCAAGAGAAGATGAGAAAATAATTAATTGCGTACTCATTACAACTAAATTAGGTTAATATTTTATGCTAGCAATTGTTGGCGTTAAGTTTATCAAAACCCTCGAATTATAATAATTTCAAGATAAATGTTTTAGTCTGATAAGGCATTAGAGAGTGCAGATGCATGCTGTTTCCTTAGCACCTAAGAGGCGTGCTATCTATTTATATCCACGAGATTACCTGAGGCGCACGTGGTCTTCTAAAGAAATACAGTAAAACTGTTTCTTTCGTCAACGTAAGCCCTGTAGTCTTCATTCAAATATTTTTAAAAGATAAGAAAAAACGATAAGGCAGGAGCGATAACCTGCTTACTATAACCGTCCTATAGTACAAACACTTCGGAAAAACCTCTAAATTCAGGGACACGCCACGAGAATCCAAGGGGTGGCAGTTGCTATATACTCCTCCCTAGTAACGGTTCCACAAAAGTAACAGGAATTACCAACCGTCCTTTGTTAGGTCCATCGTAAATACCTTAATATAAGGCTCTTTAACCTTCGTGGGGCTTACAATTAACCATGGGAGATCAAAGCGAGGATAGGTAAGTGTTGCAAAGGTAGTTTGAAATACTATTGCCAGCTTCCTTTAAATAATTACGGTATTATGCCTTAGGAGCCAAGGTAAACCTAGTACCAGCGTTAATCCCCCAAATTAGTAAGCAAGCAATTAACTTCTTTTAAATATAAGCTTATGTGAGCATAAGAGGATGAATAATGTATCTTATAGGGGTCTTCACTTAAAGACCCATCAGAGAACATGACAGCAAGGGGCTTACGAAGAAGTGTTATTCCTTTGGCTTCTAATAGACTCTGCGAATATAGTTTGTGAGGAATCCTGTATTTAGAAACAATCGAGCTGGCACAAACAACCCCAAATACATAGAAGTACTAAACTGTTCTACGGTAGCACCTTTTCAAACTGTTATAATGGATCTTGGGAACGTTTACAGCATTTCCTTCAAATTAGGACGCTTAACTACTTTATGAAAAAGTTATTCGCCAGGTAACAGTAGGTATCGATCTCGATCTCTCCGGCCTAAAAGCTAAAAATGAGGTAGTAGAGGTACTCGAAAAAAGGCGTCTCTCTTTCTCTTTCACCTAATTTTCTATCTGCAGGCTCTCCAAGTATTATAGTAGTTTAAGACTCCTAAGCAGTATGTATCCTTAATCTTTTCATCAATTTCTCTATTATATCGTTTTAAGGGCAGCTATATTATTCTAAAACTTCAAGTGGTAGATTGCACTCAGTACCGGCTGGTATAGGATTGCCTGCAAATAAACTTAAGGAAGAATCCCTTCCTTCTTTTGCTTCCTCCACCGAACAAAAACTTGTTGTGTGTATAAGAAAATTTTTAAAAAGTGCACAATTTTTTTTAGCGCTGGTGTACTAGGGCCGGTCTTCTTCAGACCTTGAGCCCTTAATCTGAATTACCTCTTCAGCAGGGGTTGGGGAGTGCCCGTCCCTGTACGCGATATGTAGAGCTATCGTGACCGACTCGAAAACCTGAAAGAGCGGTAAATATTGGTCCCGGACACCCACCATCCGGCCTAGTGTGGTGGAAAATCGCTAAAAACTACCACCAGGAGAGGTAACCCTAGGCCGAAGTCACCTAGAGACACCAGCCAGCACCATTGCTAGCCTGGCCTCCCCGACTATGAGCTCCTCACCAGAGGGGAGGAACGTAGACACTTTTCCAGCGTGGAAAACCTCTACTTCTTTCTCTAGTTGGTTGAAAAATTATTTTCTAGGGCTCTGGGAAGATATAATAGTTAACTTTATTAATTTCTTAGTTTAAAAGTAGGGAGTTATGGTTTATAAAACTGGCAATTTTCACTAAGCTGAGTGGGCGGTATGTAGTTTGGAGAGTTTAAATTCAAACTCCAGTATAATCTTTTTTTCGATAAGATTTTTATGTAGTTTTTAAAGGGCAAGAAGGATAGTTTTAAACTGGAGATGTGCAAGGACCTGGTCGAGCCTAAGAGAACGCATTCATCGTGCTCCGCCCAGTCGCTAAGAATTTCGCCTTTATTCCATACTTTTCTATACCATTGGATAGTCTTACAATTTAAACTTTGCACTTAAAACTAATTAAAGTATTTACATTCTTTTTCCTTTAGCGTTTCCTGCTAAAAAAAAAAATAGTAACTCCCTTTGCGTCATGTATATTTACAGAGATCGCAGTAGCCTCTACAAAAGTGGTAAGCTTGTATACAACTGAAAAATGAATGATCTACCTTTTTGGCCACTTTTAGTACTTAAATTTTAAATTTACCGTTAGTTTGTTTTGAAGTTGATATTTGATGAAAACAGATAACTTTTTCAAAATGCTTAGATAATTTTACCTTAATATCTTGTAGAAGGAAGGGCAAGTCTACAATATAACTATGTGTAAAGCAAGAAACATTTTTAACTGCAATGTTTTTATTAGCTAAAGGGCATTGCTAACTACGATTTGGCTGTTCATTTTATAAAGTAAGATTTTTTGTTTAGTGTTTCAAGGTACAACCAGTTCCTTTCACACATAGATCCTTTTATTAAAAAAAGCAGAGTTCAGTAACCTATTTAGTAAACAAAGCCTCCCCATAGACTGGAATATCTGTGAACGAGGTAAGAAACCAAGCATATTGTGCTTGAAAATCTTTATCTTTCCTTAGGAAGTCTTCAACATAGCAGTTGCCAATAGTATGGCTCTTCAGGGCGAGCTATCATCACTAAAATCAGTGATGAATGTTGTGATCAGTCATGCCAAATATATTATGAACAGGAAAAAGAAGAAAGTATATGTGATAAAAATTCAATTAGTTATGACTCTTTTATAGAAGGTGCTTTAAAGGAGGAAAACCTTTTGGAAAAACCTTTTGATCTGAGCAGTTCACGTGTAGCGACCTAAAAATTCAAAATTTTAGTAGTAGCCAAAATTTATGTGATGTTAAAAATAGTATTGATACGATTACGTCTGGAGTTGACAGCGCTGCTTTAATTAAAAAGAATAATAATTCTTTATATAATAACAACCTTAAAGTCAGTGAGTCAAAAGTTGAAGCTTACAAAATTTTGCCTACTGTTAACTTAAAAATACGAGCGAATATCAATTTTGACAACGGTTTATTTATGGTTTTCCTTACTTACAGTTAAAAATTTTTTTCAAAGTAAAGGATTGCGTTTCCTATGTAAACCATTTACAAATAGTCAACTATGCTTCAAAACTCAAACTATTATATTATGAAAAATTCCTTGTAAAAACGGATGTAATATTTTTTGTTGGGCCAATGCTAAAAAACGTTTTCTTATTTATCAATTTTTTTTTTTTAAATAATTTGTTTTAAGCTTAGATTATAATCTAAATAAAACTTGTTCAACTTCGGTTTATTAAGTGACTTTTTTATAACAATATAAATTGTTAGAAAATTTTTAAATTTTCCAAAAAACTTGTTAATATTTCTCCTTATAGTTATTAAGCATTCTCATTAAAATATTGCTTCTTATAAAGTTTGATTTTTTTTTAGATATATTATAGTTGCTTTGACCACTTTCTATAATGAATAGTTTTAACTTTTTTTTAATCCCTTTTGGATGATGTTAAACAACTTAATTAGTTTTTTTTGTTCCGATTTTAATCTATCTCTAGCTATTTCCAGTTTTATAAATCACTATAAAGTGTTATAAATTTTAATTTTAATTTTATTAATAAGTGGAAGAATAAAGTTTTTCTAGTGCAAGAAAATATCCTAAAGCGCTTTAGATCTAGGTAGTATTTTATATATTAGTCCTGCTTTAATTTATGTTAATTTATTAGAAATAATTAATTTTTATTATTATTTATTATATACTTGTTATATAGAATTAAAGAAGTAGGTCGTCTTTTGAGCTGACAGAGAGCGATCGTAGCAGAGGTCCAAGCTTACTTTTTTTTTATAAGTGAGCGCATAATTGCTGTTTTAAAAAAAAATGCTGCTTCGTTATGAAGGATGCAGCTATGAAGAAGTAAAAAAAGTTTACAACGTTGTATTTATGCACTAAGATGAAATCTACTCGACCCTGTGGGAACAGTCAAGTCCCGCTGGGAGCGCCTGCAAAGTTTTATTCGCGTTTTCTGTTAAATTGCTCTCATCTGAAGATTCTCTTTCCCAGACGAATATCTTTGAAAGGACAGAGTCTTGCCTGTCTCCTACGGAGCATCCGGATGTGTGTTTTTTTTAGTTGAGTATAAAAAAATTTGTTAACTTTAATAGTTTCCCTAAAATGAGGAAATTAACAAGTTGATTTAAAAAAATGATTAATTGCGGAGAAGCTTTTCTTCTACGAAGCAAAAGGTCGACCTTAAACGTTTAATGCTTTATATTAAGTATTGAATTAGAAAAAAAGAAAGGTAAGTTGGCGATTTTTTAAGGAAGTACGACGAGCTTGAGGCTCTTTACAGCAGTACGAAAGCTATATTATACGAAATGGAGGACGAAAATGCTCTTCTGAAAACGCGTTTCACTTCGCTGGTGTAAATTTGTTAGCCCCCTCAACTCTTCAATTTTTAAAATTTTGCTCAGTCCGTTGAAGTTAGAGAAGTCATGTGTTCTTATCAAGAGGCACGTCAGCACAACGACCTTTTGCTGAAAAACGTTAAGCGATTGGCAGACAGACAACATCGGGCGCTTCTGCACGAGCTCAAAGGCCGGTTCGGCATGTCCACTTGCAAATCGTACTTGCCTACAAAGTTATACTCTGCTTGTCAAAATCGTACGCCTAAAAGTGGCAACTTGGTTAGGGCGTGACTGTTACATTGACCATACCCACATAGTTGCTTCTACTAGTAAAGAAATTTAAGAGGGCGTTGGCGCATTATATCCTATTTCCTCTTGCAGACGTTTTCTACTTAATTCTCTATTCTATTTTTGAGGTTTAAAAGTGGTTTAGAAGATAAAAAAAACAAGATTGCACTGTTAAGGTAGACTTTTCCAACAATAACATGTAAAGTTGAAGAAAACGAGACTGCTTCTAATAAAGTTATTTCTCCATACTTTAATGTTGGGTTGCTTTAGTTCTTATGAACGACACATGCATAGTTTGACAGTACGCGAGAACAAGATGAGGAGGCTCCGGGGATTATAGTTACCAACAGCGTAAGAGATGTAGTAGAAATAAAGAAAATCGGTCTAAGTAAAAACAGTAAAAATAAAAAAAAATTATTTATATCTTAATTAAAGAGCTTAAAGATCCTCGTTAGTTTTTATTAATTCTATCAATTACTATAATATTTCGTTAAGAACACTACACTCATTTCACCTTTTTTTACACTCTCCCTCTATGTTTATTGTATCTCACTTTAACAGCCATTGTGGAAGACTTTCAGCAGGTTATTAAAACATGAAGTTTCTTCAGTCATTTAAACTTAAATATTACTTTAAAGAATGTTTCTCCTTCTAACTCCTAGTTAAGCCTAGATTTTGAGGAGGAACTAAAAGCAGATTTGGTTTTTTTAATCTAATTCTTGCTTTCATCTTTTACTGGTTTATTAAAAGTGTACTAGATATATTTAAATGGGAAAGAGGTTGCCGCGAAGAGAGCTTCAGAAGAGAATTCTGGATGGTCACTCCATGATAAAAATTCCGAAGCTGTACGAGAGGGTACAGAACAACTGAAGCAAGAGATTCTTGCAAAAAAGGTCACAATTGAGATGCTCACAAAAATTAATCTTCACTTTTTTCCCACTGGAAGCTCTTCATAAAAAAGGACATACGAAGTATTTATAATCTTTTTTAATCGCAGAAATCTTTGCTATGTAAGTATTCTTAGTAGTTCCAAGGAGGAGAAGTTGACCTGTTCTGGCACTAACAAGGAGGTGGCGCAGCGCGTGACTTTTTTAATTTTTACGTTTGTATAGAGCGCGCCAGTAGATATTAAGTGGTAGAGTAAATAATTGCAAACAGAGGATGGCGGGCAGGGCCGCCTTAATTGAGTTTTATTAAATTAAAGCAACAGTGAATAATTGCGCTACCGTTGTAATACGAAACCTTTGTTTAAGATATTTTACTAAATCTTTTAGTATACTATCAACTTAATTAAGGTTAGGAAAAAAGAACTTTCAGAAGTGGTTGCAAAAAATCTAGATGCTAAAACTCTTATGACAAGCCAGCAGGCGCTTATTGACGATTATGAGCATTTTATAATTGATTTTACTGAAGAATTTCAGGTATGTCAGTTTAGAAATTAAATTTATATAGTCTAATAGCCTTGGGGGATTTTTATACCAGGAATTAAAGACTAACTTGCCAAAATGTTATGAATTATTAAAGCCATCCGAAGAAGTGAGGCAAGTCAGCAATCACAGTATAATTACTTTTATAAGCAAATAGAGAACTACGAAAAGATATTTGAAAATCTTAAGAACCTTGAAATACAAAACCGAGAGAACACTAGTGAACTAGAAGTTAACTTGCAGAAGTGCGAAGAAGAGAACTTGCAAATGTCGTATAAAGTAGAGACCCTCTCAGAGTTATGCACTGCAATAAGTTAAGAGAAAGAGAAATTGGAGAGCTTTTATAAAGAACTTATAAACGTTAATAAACACTTAACAAATGAACTAGAGTGGCGTAAGAAAGAGTACAAGCAACACGAGAAGAGATACACTAGTCACTTTGAGGAGTTGCAGGAGACTATTGCCTTCCTTAATTGCGAGCTGGAAAAAAGTAAAGACGAGTACGAGCAGCAAAAAAAGGACCACGCAAGGTATCTTCCTTATCTTGCTTCTTACAGCGGGCGCGTCTTAGAGAAATCCTTAATAGAATTAGTACAAAATTAACTGAAGGGTTTAAAAGGCGACAGAAAGAACATTTCCTCCAACTAAATTAGTATTTAAAGTGGATTTTATCTGTGCAAGAGATGCTTTCCCAGCAGAATAATCGACTGTTAAATTCAGAACAGCTTCTTGAAGAAAGAACAAAAAAAATTTCAGTCTCCTAGATTATTGGTGAAATTCTTTTGCTTTTGGATTGGAGAAATAATGATAAACCTTTTACGCTAAAGACTTAAGATAGCTATATTAGTGTTTTATCATTACTATATTATATGTGTACAACAGTTAATTAATATGGCATTAAAAGTTAGAGTCAAGTTAATAAAATGGTGGTGACCGCAATGTAACTTATTAACATCTTTTTCGCTAAATCAGAATCTACATCCCCAAGCGACGACTGATGATAATTTAGGTGTAAAGACCGTTTTTAACTTAACGTAAAACAGTCTTGCTGTGCTACTGAAAAGTTCGGTTTAACGTTTTTTAAGCATTTTACTAACTTGTTGCGGTTTTTTACATAGCGTTGCAGGTCTATTTTTAACAATTTTATTCTTTAAATGCTGTAGCTTATCTATTTGCGGTTTTTTATATACTTTACTCAAATATTTTTACTAAAGGGTTAAAATCAAATGTAAAAGGATCTGCTTTTGTCTTGTCACTAAAAAATTAAAATTTTTCTTCTCTTCTAGCTCGCGTCTTAGATTAAGTTATGCCTATTCGAAATACATTGTAAAGTATAAATTTAATTTAGTAGCCTCCTTTTCCATGAATTCCTAGTGAAGCTTACCTTAACTAAATGCTTATTAGCTAACTAATAATTTTCTTCCCAAGTCACACACAACTTTAGTTTTTACAGTAAGTCTAACACCGTGCCGTAAAGGTGGGTTAAAGCAAAATGGTAAGCCTTTAAAAGACGGGAAACAAAAAATCTTTTAAAAAAGACTGCAAAGCTGGATAAACAACTGTTGAGTGACTGTAGTCCTCCAAGCATGGCATCTATATTTAATTAAATCTTGTTTTTTAAGTTGCTTTTAATTTAAAGAACCACCTTTTTGTAAAAGGAATGTAATAACTTTAGAGGGACGATTATATAAAGTTCACTTGAGTTGTTAATCTCCTTCCGTAGCGTATACTTTAAGTGATAGTTTATTGTGCACCTTAAGTTTTAAAGAATATTTTTTAAAACTTATTGAAAGCGTATATCACTCTAGCAGTTTTAAGGTAATCTTATGTAATATTAATCTTAAGAAAAGTCTACTATAACAGAATCACCTCAGACCAGGCCACGCAATTTAGAAGTAAACTAAAATATCTGCTAAGGTATCTTTGCTTAGAATAAAGTTCGTTTTCTCTAACTGTTTCTTACCTTATTTTACTACTACTTATGTATATCTCCTAAAACTCTTCAAAAATGTTTTTAAAATAATTTATAAACTCTAGTTAAAATTACGTTACTAACCTTTTAATTTGATAGTTTTTGTTAATTTTTTTCGCCTTATAAAAATATTACTATTATATAAAGTACAAATTTACAATTATTTAAATTAAAGCATTAACACTGCGCCCCGTTTCATAGCGTAACTTGTATAAGTAAAAAATTAATGCTACTAATGTAGGATATTGAGAACAAGACAACTGCAAGAGCTAAGATTTTTAGATTAACATAAAAAAAAAGCTTAAGACGTTACATAAAAAAAGTCCTATTTTAAAAAAATATTTATCGATTAAAGCTTTCTAGTTACTATGATATTTTTTTCTTTTTGATAATATTTTTAAATTTTGAATATTATTAGTACGTTACTTGAATATCACTAACATTATCTTGAGTCTTAAAAATTTTCTTAAATGTTGTTTATACGTTTCTTAAAATTAATTGCTTTCGATTTTCATTACTTTTTCCTGGCTCCACTACTTGTAATTGATACTCCTGTAAATATATTAAAGCCAGCTAAAGGTTTTATTTATTCTAAATCGCGGAATAAACTATTAAATTAAATTGAGCAAAACTTTTCCTTCGCCAAGCCTTACAATTACTTACAATTAAACAATAAGTAAAACCACGAATATGTAAAAAAGATGCTTCCATTTTATTACTAAACTTTCATAAAAAAAATTAAAATGAAATATTTCAGAACTCCCAAATCAAGCAGATTTTTTATTTAAAATCCCCAAAAAAATGACGTAAAAATGATAAAAATTAAAACTAAGTTTTCTTTGCATCAGTAAATTTACAATTATAAAACCGGACAGCCCCAAATTTTAGAGACTTGAGCTAACTTCCTGCGAAAGCATAGAAATACCGCGCCCACCAGAGCCAAGAAATATAACCTTTAAAAACAATTTAAAATTAAAGGAAAAATTCAAGCAAAAGCAAATAACACAATACCAGTCTTGAAAATGAGAGTGTGCTTGACAAAGATGCATTTCTTGGCAGGATGATAATTAAAAATGGTTTTATGCTTTAAACAAAAAATAACCAAAAAAAGCTAAATTTTCTGAACTAAAACAGTAAAAATAAAAATAACTAACGAATTAAAAGTTAAATGCAAAAATTTTTAAACTAAAAATTCTTAATTCTCTCTTAATAATAAAATCACAAACGTCTAATAATCCCGATAAAAATTAATTAGAGCGTTTTTAATTTCTATCCCATTAGAAAAATTAGTGCTCTTTAGTAAACTAGAATCTTTAAAAGATATAAAATTCGAAAGCTCAACTTTTCTATTAGACACAATCTAAAAAATTAGCTTTCTGAAATTACTAGCATCAAGTTTAGTTAGATTTATAGCAGATGTTTTCCTAATATCTTTTCTTGTATAAAGGTAATCTCCTCCTTCATACTCTATAAAATAATTCTGAATTGGGCGACTTTTTAAAGTTTCATCTGGAAAACTAGTGTTTCCAAATTCATAAAATTGCTTATGATGGAATCTGAATTTCATTTATTGTTTCGTTTAAGCGGTTTTTTTGGGTTACTTATAACCTTCCCGTCTTTTCTAAGATAACGTAACAGTATAGTTAAAAACATTTTATAGCTCCAAGGTTTCTTTAAGTAATTTTCTTTTAAAAG